TTAATTAATTTTAATTAATGTTAAATTAATCATTTAATAAGTTAATCATCATAATTAATTAATTTAAATCCTTAATTTTCTTTTCTGTGTCAAAGTCAAAATTATCTTTGTTTATTCCAAATTTTACCCAAAGCTTTTGTAATTAAGCAATTCAGTCCATGGGTTTCAACTCTTTTCAAATTAGTCCTTTATGTTTTGAATTTAATCAAATCAGTCCATTTAATTTTCACGTGTGTTTATTGTGCATGCATGTTCTTGATTTTGTCCATTTTAGTCCAAAAATTTTAAAAATGTTTCAATTTGACTTATCCTTCTTTCAAACTTACCTATTAAGACTCAAACATAAATATAATAAATAAGTTGAATTAAAACCCCAATTTTAAAGTATGCAACCGTGTTTAAACGCAGGATTGTGAGGTGCACGTATGCCCTTCTTCACTTCTAATCGAATCTCCGGACCTCGATCTCTGTGCAGACCTATTTTTAGGTGACTTGTCCCACCTTATAATTTGGACGAGTGACGACTCCCTTTTCTTATATTTTTTTACACTTAATGATTTTTCATTGTTTTGGAAAAAATCTTAAGTGGTCGTCAACATATAGAAATTGAGTAGTTAAACTATATAATTTATATGCTAAAACTTACATATGAAAACAAATAATTTCATCCTAAATAAAATACCAATATAAGTAAAATTATAACTTAGTTACCTTCCATTGGACTTTACCTTAATATAATTTAATGAATCATTAAAATTATAATTCTCAACAATCCTTAACTTTTAATATATATATATTTTTTGAAAATTTTCTAAACTTCCGTAGAGTTAGTAAAAAATTAATAATAATTATGCTTTCTTCAAATGCATAACTAGTTTTTTTAATAGATAATTTATTGGCAATTACAAATATATATTTTTTACATCTAAATATGGACACTTTATATCTTCATTAGAAAAAATCATGATACAAAACCCATATGTTAAGCCACATATGAAAAAAAAAATTTTTTCAAAAGAATTAAAGTTTCACACTTATCCACTCATTTATTCTATAATCATAAATTTCTTTATTAATAGTCAAATTTAAAAACTTTGTATACGGGTAATGCAATGAGTTTTAGGAAATTTAACCCAAGAATATCATAATATATAAATAATGGGGTATATATAAACTCATGTATCTCAAATTGTGACTAATTGCTTTAATAAAATCCTAAAACTTAATCTCCAAAATATGTTTCACAACATATATCATATGCATGGTAATATTAACAAAGTGATTTCAAACTAAAATATGACAAACATTTCATATCAAAATTTATTTGTCACCAACCACGTATTTTTAACCTCCAATTGATACATATTTATTAAATTGCACTTAATATTTATTTTAATTTGAACGGAACAAATATACATAATTATTATATGAATGATCATTTTGATTTATAAAATTAGGTTACCCAATACATAATCTTTATACATATATAATGGTTAAATGAGATTATATTATATTGATAGGAATTCCTCATATAAGATTTAATATATATTATGTACAAATAACAATACACAATCAAAAGAAATCCTAATTGAAAAGAAGTGGGGTTCATATAAAAGAATTAAAACTCTATGTGCACAATTGCGGAAAATTGCCTAAGTGTGAACTTTTAAGATCAATTGTCAACACCTTTACAGTGAAAATCACGTTCGCGTCTGATTTGCACACAATTACCAAGTCCAAGTGTCAATAACTTCACCCAGTGGAAAAACAAGTCCGTGTCGGACTTCTAGAGCATTATGCAAAATTTTGAAAAAATAAAATAAAATAACAATATTAGCCCTCAACCTTACTATTATTATTTTTAAAAATTCATTTAAATTAGTCACATGGAATAAAATGACAAGATGTTAAGCAAAGGAAGAGCCGAATACCACAAGCCCACATGTCCCAAAAGACTCAATTAGCTCTAGATTTTTTTACGTAGGTCAATAACTTATTTTTACATGATTTTTTTTATTATTACAAATTCAATGATATCTTACAAATTAAATATTCACCCCACAAATTTCATTCTTTTGACCTCAAAATATTTGTATAACTCCGTACATAATCAATTATAGAGATTATTTTGAACTTTAGAAAGACAGAAGGATTAAATAGTTATTAATTTTTTTTTAATAAGCAAAGCAAATAAAATTTTATTACAATGAGTACTCCAACCCCTATACAACATTAAAATGCCAATACAATGAGGAAACTAACCAAACCCACAGCATTAAAGAAACAAAATCAGAAATCTTCTAGTCCAACCCGTGAATCCCTCAAATGTGTGGCTAGTCACCCTCTCCAATTACCCGGGCAAGGGAAAACTTTTCAGAAACTGTTTTAAACAGCTTTTATTCCCACTCACAGCCAATGCACATTGAACTGGATTAGATTGCCAATCATAAAATTAAAAAACACATCCCTACAACCTATGTTTAAGCCAAACAAATTATTTAACTTGCACTGCATCCAACACATGCTAGCCAAAATTCCTGTCATTTTGAAAAACAATTCTATTCCTCCAAAACCAAAGGTGCCAAGACACCAATAAGAAAATATAAGAACGCATCTCCCTTCTAATATTCCTCCCTAACCCAAACATAAACATATCAGCCATTCCCCTCAAAGTATTCGGCAACACCCCCTGCAAACCCCGCCACTTTAACACCCCCATCCACACCTTCCATGATTCTCTACATGTAAAACATAAATGGGTACTCTTCTCCACTTGCTCACTACAAAAACCACATAACAACTCCTCCACTTGCAACATCAGCCCCCTTTTATGTAAATTAACTTTAGTAGCAAGCCATCCAAGCATAATCTCCAACCAAAAAAACTAACTTTTGGAGGAACAAATCTACACCATATCCACTTACACTCTTGTTCATCCAGAATTCTTCCAGTTGGGTTCGAAAAATCATATGCCTTCTTAACCACATATATCCCGTCCCCATCATGTTTCCACTTCCATTTATCTTCCCTACCCTCCCTTAGATGCACCCCACCTAGCAAATTGAACAACACTTCCTCTTCACTTAGCTCTCTACCCAATCTTGATCTCCGCCACACCATCTTCCATCTCCAACAACCTTCCTCTCACCCCCCCATCTCATTAATATTACCATCCTTATTCACTGCCAGCGCAAAAATTCTAGGGCACACATCCCTTAAAGGTTTGTGCCCAACCCAATTCTCCCGCCAAAAACCCACCCGCTTACCATCCCCCACCTCCCACCTAAATCCATCCACCAACATAACCCTAAGCTTGGCAGATCTCCTACCTATACTTAGAACATCCTTCCAAACACGAGACAAACAAATACCTTCTACTGCAGTGATATCCACACTCTACTTCCCTTCATAATATTTCTCCCACAACACCTTTTTCCACAACCCCCATGATCCATCACCTAACTGGTACCACCACTTCCCAAGCAAAGCCAAATTTCATCTACCTAGATCATGCATTCCTAAGCCCCCCTCTTTCTTACTATAACATGCTAAATCCCATTTAACCCAAGAAATTTTCCTTCTAAGCTCAGCCCCTCCCCATAAAAAATCCCTTTGAATACCAATAAGTTTAGAAATCACACAATTCGGCATCAAAAATAAAGACATATAAAAAAATTGGGATAGTAGAAAGTACCAAGTTAAGCAAAATGATGCAGCCTCCAAAGGACAAAGCAGCATTCTTCTAGGCAGCAAGCTTACCTCAAAATCTGCTAACAACTGGTTCCCACATCTTCTTATTCCTCGGATTCTCCCCAATTGGCATTCCCAAATAAATAAAAGGCATAGTTCCAATTCCATAACCCAAAACACTGGCTGCCCCTTTTAACCATCTCTTCGTAACGTTAAAACCATAAACACTGCTCTTACCAAAGTTAATCCGCAAACCCGAGACCAATTCAAACCACTGTAATATAGTTTTCACCATTCCTATGTTTTCACTATTCGCACGACCTGCAAAAACTGTATCATCAGCAAACTGAAGCAAAGACACCGTCATTCCCCTTCGACCAATTTCCACTCCATGCAACAATCCCTCATCCTCTGCCTTTTTAACAATCCCAAATAAACCTTCACCAACCATTAAGAAAAGAAAAGGAGATAATGGATCCCCTGCCTAAGCCTTTTCCCTACCTCAAATTCCTCTGTTGGACTACCGTTAACTAAATCGAAACTCTTGCAGTTGACAAACATTCCATAATCCATCCTTTCCATTTGGTACCAAATCCCAAGCTACTCATCATCCAATTCAAAAACGACCAAGCCACACAATCGTAAGCTTTTTCAAAATCAGCTTTAAATACAAAACTTGGTTGTTTTTTCCTTTTAACCTCATCCACTACTTCATTTAAAACAAGAACAGTATCAGCCAACTGACGCCCCCTTATAAAAGCAGACTAATTATTCTCGACATCACCCGCGTGAGACAATTAGCTAACACCTTAGCCAACAGTTTATACAAACACCCAATTAAACTTATTGGCCGATAATCCCTAAGCTCCCTAGGACTTATCTTCTTAGGAATTAGTGCTAAAAAAGAGGAATTTAGCCCTTTCACTAACCTTCCATTCTGGTGAAATTCTGTAAAAAAAAATCCACAAAATCAGCCTTTAAATTGTCCCAAGCACACTTGATAAGAGTGAAATTATACCCATCTGGACCTGGAGCTTTCAACTCATCACAATTCTTCAAAGCTTCAATTTCCTCCATCGAAAATGGCCTCTTAAGCCACACCTTATCCTCCCCAGAAATCTGTTTAAATTGTATTCCCCCTAGCCTAGGTCGTCTCCATGAGTCGGATCTAAATAAATCACGAAAGTATTGAACAACCTCATTCTTTACCATTTCCGGCTCCTCAACCCATCTACCGTTGCACAATATACTTGTGATGTTATTTTGAGCATGTCGTCCATTAGCTATTCTGTGAAAATATGCAATATTAGCATCACCTAACCAAATCCAATTACTTTTCGATTTCTACTTCCATAAAGCTTCCCTCCTCCGCATTCCATCCCACATCTCTTGAAACCCTTCTTTTCGATGATTCACATCCCAATCAGTTAACTCAAAATTCTCATTCTTCAAATCCATCAATTCTACCTATTTAGCAGCTCTTTCAAATTGTGCTTCAATATCCCCAAAAACCCCTTTATTCCAGCTTTTCAAAAACACCTTTAGACTTTTCAGCTTCTATTGACACCTATACCCAGCATACCCCATCACCTTCATCTCATTCCACTTCTCCTCAACCAATTTTTTGAAATCAGGATGTTGTTGCCATGCATCTAACACCCGAACTGGTTTTGGACCCCAGTCTGCATTTCTTGACTTCAGAATAATGGCACAATGATCAGAGATAGACCTTTTAATGCCTCGCTGCTGCCATTCACCAACCATGATGCTCATTTCTGTTGTCAAGAGAAATCTATCTAACCAACTCATTGAAGATCCATCCAGTTGATACCATGTGAATCTTTGATTTGCTAACTTGACATCCACCAAGCTTGTAGTTTCAATGAAATAGTTATTAATCTTAATTCAATGTCTAAGCATTAGTCTGTAACTTTACTAAACCTTTAGGGACAGATTTGCACTAAACAGAACTACTAAGGGACCAAATAGTATTTTTTCCATTAATCATCCCTGCCACAATAACTTTTCTTGGTTCTCACCTCCTGCGTTTAACCTTTCCCCCTTTTTATAAATTATTATTTATTTATTAGTTATTTTTTTGAAAATAGGCAATGGATGTTTATTTATTAGTTAGAGTACTTAACAGATTGGGATTTCGAACCCAATCGAGTCCTTTACTTTGACTCCAATTGGGATTCCAAAACCCAATTTTATTGATTAAGGTGATGTTACATACCCACATACACAAGTCATTAGTGAGAGACTAGGACAAAAGAAAATCATATCTTCTTAAAATCTCGACTCTACATTGAGTTTTATGGACTGTTTTCTGCAGTTTCCTGATCCGCGAACTACTCTCTAGTCTCCATAGATCTCTTAATCTCCATGAATTATATGATCACAACTAGAATCAATAGATTTAATAAAAGCAAGATTTAATTAGAGATACATAAAACTCAATTAAGACATTAATAATAACATAAACTTATTGAGCTTTTGTAAATTAGTCAAGTGAAGGCTTTAAACATCAAATCCGACTTATATAGATAGAATTATAGAGGTATGTTTTATATCTTGTAAAGCATGATTATTCAACAACATAACCCCTGTTTTAATCTTGATTATATATGCTATCATATAACATTAGGATCAAAAATCTTAATCAGTTCATCAAATTAGCACGAAATAATAATAAAAATAAAAGACTTGTATTCTAAACCCATATACAACTGCTTTGATATCACATGTTAATATTTGATTTAAAGATTGACACATGTAAAATTTAAGATATCAAAATATAATAAAATACATAAATTATGTATTTCAATCTCCATAATCAATATATAATATGTTACTCAAGAATCTTTAAAGATTATCATAATTTTGAATCGATAAAACTTATAAAACAAATATAATTAGTATTGAGACTTGGGTCTTCATCTCCCTATTCAATTTTTGTATAGTGACAATGAGCATGTCACTCCCTAACTCCACTATTTATGAAGTTAGGATTTTCTGAATGGGAGAGAGAATCTAACCCATTATAATAATCTATAATAATTTATAATAATCTTTTAGGCACTCTATCAAGTAACCCACATTTAATTTCAAATCCTATGCCTATTTATATCACACTATATAAATCTGAAATAACCTAAGTTCATTTGGATCACATAACTTCATTTTTTTTATTGATGGATACATAATTTTATTGAGTTTTTTTTTTTTTTTTTTTTTTTTTTTTTTTTTTGGTTTTTTATTTGAATTCTTTGTAATAAACTAAAAACAATTAATAGTAGTTCACATGAAAATTTCTAACACTCAGGATTGTGGAGGTAATGGTAGAGGTTAAGGGATGTTGGCACATGAAGAGGCAGAGGGCAGTGTAGACGAGGAGAAACGCATTGCGGAAATGGAAGAGACTTGTTTCTTCAGATCATTACTGTATAATAAAGATTGCTGATACTCTGAGTATCAACTGTCCTGCTGCAGGGGCATAAAGATTTCCCCACTTCTCTAAGTTTCTTTTGGTTTGTAACTCATGAGTGCGTAGGATTGCAAGTATTGTTCGTTGGATTTTTACTTGCTTGGCTAGAAAATTGTGCTGTTTGGGTGTTTGGACTTGTTTGCTCCACTAGAAAATTTTTAGTTTTTATTTGGGTGCCAAGGAAATTGTTTAAAAAGTACTGTTTCAATTGTTTGGATGTTGAGAAAATTGTAAAATTTGCTATGAAATAAAGGTGGATATTACACCTTTTTATTGCCAATAGCATGGACTTTACTTTTCTTCCTTACTTGTCTTCCTCTTAATGGATGATCTGCATTGAAATGCATTATGGGTATACATTCCCTAACAGACAACTATTACTTTCCATTATCTCCCATTATCTCTCATTATTTCTCATTCATATAATAGATGATTAATAATTCATTGAGACTTATTAGTGCATTTATGCCTCCAACTCCAACAAAAATCTTTTGCATTACTGTATTGTAAACTTTAATTTAAGAGTTATAATTCCTTTATTTATAAATAATTATATTTGATACGAAATAAGAGAGGAGGTTATAGAGGTGTTTTCCATCTTTTGGTGTTGCTCTTACAATTGTGTTGGTTTGGTTTTTGATGGGTTACTAGTTCATGGAATTTGGCTAAGGCTTGAATAAATGGTTAGGTAGGCTCCATATCTGGCTTTGGGTTGGATTTGTGGGGTTGTCTTCACCCCCTAACTTTTAATTTCTTTGCCATCATCCCTTTCTCGGGTTCTCTTTCCAATTTCATCACAAAAGTTTTTCTTTTTGCATTTATCCCCTAAAACAAAGTAAAATATATTAGTTAAAGAAAAGAAAAAAATTCATATTTTTTTTATATTTTTGTGTTTTGTTTTCTCATTTTATAATTTTTTAATGTTTTTCTTGATTAATTTCATATTTTTATATATTTTTTTAATAAAAAACCCAAATAAACTAAATAAAAAATTGAGTCATGATAACCACGTAGTGTAGTTTAGTGTCTCAGCGAATTCATTCATCCTCTCACTATCCACATTGATTCTATGCAAGGTACTCTTGAAGAAATTCACTTTGAGTCTAGAAGTCAATTCAAAGTTACAAAATTTGCATTTAGGTGCCTAGACATTCATGTGACACCTCACAGGAAAAGATTGAGTCATCTACAAACTATAGACGTGTGCTTTCTAGTCCACCTGTGTTTACAGTCACTCCATTAAACGAACCCTCTTCCATTACTTTCCCAACTAATCTGTTCAAGGCCTCAGCAACCACCAAGAACAAAAATGGAGCTAACAAATCACCTTGCCTTAATCATTTTGACATTTGAAATTCTTCTGTGGGGATTCCATTTACCAAGATTGAAACCAATGCAAAGTGTAAGCACTCTTTGATCCAAGAGTGCGTTTCTAAGCAGAATCCAAGACTTTCCATCATATAGTTGATCCAAGAATTGCTGGTTCACATTGTCCTATGCCTTCTCAAAATCAACCGTGAAGATCAAGGTTGGCTTTCTATTCTTCTTTGCATTAGGAATGAGCTCAGAAGGAGAAAAAAAAAATAGCAGATTAGGACTTGAGACTTTAACTAACAAAATTAAAAGAAGGTTTTGATTGAGAAAGGAAAAAAAGTAAGAGGTATTAATTGATTTCACATGAGAAGTCCAGGGTTACTGAAAAAAATTTAGAATTGATATTTAAAGCCATGGTGCTTCAATCCAATAAGCCTTATCCAATTTTCTCTTAGCATATGTTTGGATAAAAATTAGTAAAGGAAAGTGAAGAAAAGGGAGGTGTAGGGAAGGGAGGGAAGAAGAGTAAAGGATTGGTATTAATAGGGATGGCAATGGGTCCTCACGGGGGCAGGGACCCCTTCCCCATCCCCATCCCCGCCAATGGCGGGTACTAAGATCCCCACGAGGATTTTTGGCGGAGGTTCAAAAATAACCTCCTCCATACCTGCGGGGAATGATAGGTTTTCGCAGGTATTTGGAGTACCAGTCAAATAAAGCTATCACCTACTCCGCTGCTTGTTAATTAAAATTAAGCTCAACATAGACTTGCTTAAAGTCCACTGGTTTCCACATTCATCAAATAAAATTAACTAAAATAATCATATAAAATAAAATTTTGAAATAAGACAAACAAGCAATAAATATATACAGCCAATATATACATGTCAAGCAGGTCCAATAAGTCAGCAACAAGTTCATAAAGAAAAAAAGGCATAAACTGCCATATAAGTTCAACAAATCCAGCAAAATGTTCATAAAAAAAAAAAGGCATAAACTATAACTGTCATTTGCAAAGTTCTTAGAAAAAAAGAATCCATAAACTGCTATCATACATGTCCAACAATAAGTTCATTAAGAAAAAGGACATAAAAGAAATGAGTTATCGATGATTGGTTGAGAGATTAGAGAAGAGTTATCAAGTTAAGTGTGAGTGAGAGATGGGAGAATATTAGTGTTGCAGTGGTTGCACAATTGGTAATGATGGTGAGAGCTTGAAGGGAATCACAAATGAGGACTGAGGAGTAGAAAGGGAGTTACAGCGTAGAGCCATAGAGGAGACTGGAGAGGAGGAATCACAAATCTAAAATTGAAATCTATGGATAGTCCTTCTAGGGTTACCAATGTAAATTGGGCTGGGCAATTAAGTTTAGGAAGACTAGATTGACAAAAAGAATAAGTTGGACTTGACAATTGGGTTTGGGAAAACTGAAAAAAGAATGAGTTGTGAAATTTAGGTTGTATTGGCATTGAGTTAGCTAATTAGGTTGGGTAAGTAAAAATTAATTATTAATATATTTACAAAAAAAATATAAATAAACATAAATTTATATATATTTTTTATTTTATATGAATCTCTACGATTCCTCACGGGATGAAAGAAATTCCTTGTAAAATTTTACAAGAAAAAAATGCCTCCATCCCCGCCCCATGGAGAATAACATTCTTGGAATCTTCATCCCCGTAACGGGGATCTCTGTGAAGCTCCGCGGATTGTGGAGGAAATTGTCATCTCTATATATTAACTTTGTTTAGATATATTAAAAAAGAGGACGGAAGGGGAAGATTACATTTTTTTGTTTAATTAAATAAATTTTAAAAATTTAATTATAAAATTAATTAAAATTTTATAAATTCATATATTAAAATTAAAGTTGCAATAAAAATTTTAATTATATATTTGAAAAAGATAAAAATAAAAATAAATGGAATTCCTTCCAACCCCCGAAAGAACGAAAAATAAAGATTCGGAGGGAGTTCATCTCTCTCCATCTCTCTCCCTTTCCATCCCCCCCTGCCCCCTTTAATGTTATTATCCAAACTTGGAGAGAGGAGAAATCTCTCCGTCACTCTCCTCCCCTTCCCCCTGAACTCCCTCAATCCAAACAAAGGCTCAGTGCGCGCCATTTCTAGTTGCAACAGAAAACTAAATATGCTCTTTGCAGCTCCCGATTGCTTCCTCTCTTCTTCTTCTTCATCATCTTTGTTCTTCCGTTTTCTCTGAAGAGAACGAATGCAAACTCAGCAAGTCGAACTCGGCTGACTCGACCCTGCAGAGCGAGTCTAATCACCAACCCTGACTCGTTCGATGTGGGGCGACTCCTCGGTAGCTATGGATTCATGAATGTTACAAGGTATCACTTTTCTGATGGAATTCTCAGTTCGTTCTCTTCTGGATTGCTGAGTTTAGGATTAATCTAGTGGTTTTAAGATCTGAGAGATGATGAGAAAATGGTGTTAATTAATTCTTGTTTGCAGCTACTCGGGATTTCAGTCAGGGGAAGATCTTTAATTTTCTTCTCCGGCACCATTAAGAGTTCAAGATGTTGGAAAAGACAGTGTAAAAATCAGGTAATGAAGTAAGAATAGCATTTTGA